ACCGGGAGGCCACCAATCAAACAAATCAAGGGCCTCCTCCGCTCTAGGGGCCCTGCTCCTCCCCATCATCGACATCCACACACGTGGCAACATGCTGGTTTCTCTTCGGGGCAAGCAGGCTCTGGCGCGTGCGTGGGATGGCGGCCGCCGTTGGTGGTGCCGTTACTGTTGTTGTTACTGTACTAGATGTGGTTGTTCCACGGAGCATGGAAGATGGGTCTGAAGGAGCCTTTTGGAAGGGTTTTTGAGGGGGAGGGGGAGGAGATGGTGCTGGTGCTGATTGACTGGCTTTTTCAGTTATAATTGGTTGCGAGATGTGGATGGGGAGGGAATCGGATCGCTGTATTGTTGGTTTTGAAGGGTTTATTTGTGGTTCTGGTGGTGTGGGATGGGAGGTAAGTTTTGTTTGTATTGAAGATGGGGGTATACCGGAGTGACTGATGATAGAAGGTTGGTTGGGGGATTGAGGACTCTCATGGGATTTTGGGGGAGGGTTTTCTATGTTGCACGCCATGGTAGTGGTTTGTGGGGCTTGAGCTACTGGGCTTGGAGCAACCTCCTTCTGCGACTTTATGGTTGTGATGGGGGGTGCATCGTTGCTGTTTTTCTGGAAGAACTGGTTTATGGGTTTGGTCTTTTGTGAAGATGGCGGAGGTTCGGCTTCTTGGATGGCACGTAGTGTTGACGTTGATGGTATGAAATGAAGAGTACTATTTATATCAGTTGAGGTGGGAGCTGGTGATTTGAAAGCGGGACAGACAGGAGGGATATTTTCGATTTCAGCGGCTGGGTTTTCAATGGGCAACGGACTGCTGTCTCTTTGCGTTCGTACGCTACTGTTCTGCTTCTCTCTTGAGTTTTGTTGAGACCTGGGTGTGGGGCGGTGCCTGGCCTGTGCGGCGAGTAAATCCTTGTACATCAGTTTCTTTCGAGGCTTTTCGATGGCCATCCTGAGAATATTGACAGATCCAGGAGAGTTACCGAAATCGATGATGGTTTGCGATTTCGATCTGTCCCCCTTGTTCGTTATTTTGGGGATGTCGTTTGACGACGATTTGGACGAAGTGGAAACGCTGTTACGCACCAGATCCCTGGCTGGCTGAAACGCTGACACAGAGGAGTGCGAGCCGGAGTCACAAAGTAGATTCTGCCATGATGATCTATCAACATCCCATCCCTGTTCACGGTTATCTACTCTCCGCCTCTTTGGGGCGCGTTCCGTATTCGCCGTATCAGCACCATTATTGTCGGGACGAATGGCACGATGCCGCTCCTCATAGGGTGACTTCGAGGGCAATGCAGCCCTTCCAATTCGCGCCCGCCCAATACCTAACAGCTCGTTCAGTGACTTCAGTCGTCCCGACGAGTTCGGAGCCACAATGTTACCATGAGCAGAAAGTGCTGGGCGAGACGAGGCGTCTGGCGAGAACGCCTTTGTGGGAGAGGAGGTGACCGCATGTTTCCTCTTCTCCAACAGCTCCGTCAAGTCTGTCAGGGTCTGCTCCACACACTCGCCCACCTGCACAAGCACTCCTTGCTCCAGCTCCAATTCATCACCGTCATGAAGCCCCTCCCCGTCGCGCCAATGTAGATCTCCGATAAAATTACTCTGGATATCGTAGACCATGATCCGCTTGTTGAAGGAATGATAGCGGAGGATGCCATCATCCCATCGTTTCGCTTTGCGTCGGATATCGGGGGAGAAGAGGCAACGGAACTTGCTGACGGGGGCTGAGGTTTGAGGGGTGGTCGTTGTGGCGGAGGAATTCATGATGACGGGGGGGGGGGGGGGAAAGAATGGACACATCCTCTGAGGGACAGACTCGGGACAGAGCCACGACTGTAGTCCAGCTGGATCTGGGCTGGGGTTTGGCTTAATGTCCTTCTCCACCGAATGCAGTCCGTCCCCATGTCTCCATCAGCCCATTTCACAAGTTGAGTGCGATGGCTGTAGGCTCGATTCCTCGGTTGCTGGTTCTTGGATATGTCGAGAACAGGAAACCGGGAAGACGTGACGGTGCTGACTCAGCAGGGTTGAATGAGCAAATCTAGGCCTTCTGGTAGGGAGTCCAGATGTACTGGTACCTGGAATAAACGGGCGTGCTCAACGAAATGAAAGTACCAGTACCCGGATGAAGGTATATTTCCGAGCCATTGGGCCTTGTAGGTATCCTCCTGTACATGGAGCACACACCGTAGGCTGGGAAGGCATGTATGTACTGGTATCAATGGCCATCGGACATCTCACGGAGATAAACCAAGCCCGAATATCTATTTTGTCTCCAGATGTATAGTTACAGGTTATATATATTAACTACTACGTAGTTAAATTCAATAACTTAGCTGACTAACAATGTTCAACGTCTGTCCCACCGATCGCCAGCCCAGGCCCCAGGCCTTGCCAAGGTTCCGCCGCTGTTGCGTGTCGTCTCCTGGGATGGCGCTGATGATTCCTCTCATTGCGGCTCGCGGGGTGCTGGAGTTCGATTTCTACGGCTGATGCTCGATGCTCTCCGGTCTCGCGTCTCGCGTCTCTCCGTCTTCTGTCACTCGTTCTCGTTCTGGTTCTCCCTCTGGTTCTCCCTCTGGTTCTCCCTCTCCCTCTCCAGTGCCCAGTTGTCACTGTCCCCCAGCGCTGAAACAGAGAGACCCGGCTGCAGGGATCTGCAATTGGTGACGCAGCCTGTTGCAAGCCTGTTGCACCCACTTCAACTGCTCCACGTTCAAACCTTCCTCCTTCCTCCTTCCTCCCACCCCTCCTCCTCTCCTCAAGACTCAGCTTGCATTCCTATACATGCACATTTTGTG